GTTAGCCAATGTCATAAAACAATATGTGTACTGACTGTTTAATGAGAAACTATTTGTTCTGTAAACCTTCATCTAAAGTACAATAAAAAAAATTTAAAAGAAGAAAACAAACAAAAGAATATTGTCCCGTACAGTGCTGGAAGACGAACTCCCTAGGCTGGAAAGCACTCAAAATACACAGTGGCTACAACAACGGACTCAGTCATACCAACAATCATGAAGATGGCACAGGACTGGGCAGCGTGTCATTCTGTTGCACGGGGCACCATGAGTCAGAGGCGACTCAACAGCAACTAACAACCATGTGCAGGCTTTAGACATCTCTTGCACATTTGAGTTGGAATTTTTAAAAACTCTACAAGAGATGTCAAGTTCAGTTTTAAAAGCAAATGGTTAAAAATTCAAATAGTACAAAGGATACATATTGAAAATAAGTTGCCCTCCCCAGAGGATACCTCTGCTACAATTTCTTGTCATCTCTATTTTTATTAAAATCAATTCTGAAAATAAGTCCAAATAAAGTAAAACAAACATGCTTTTACAAAAAGTTATGACCTGTGAAATAAAACACAATAGAAAAGATAGGGCATAAAGGCTGTTGGGGGAGATTTTCCTTGCATGGAGACTGGACTGGGTCAAGCTTTTTGAAACATGAGTCCAGTGGCATTGGAATTGAGGAAGCCTTGCTCCTCTGCATGGTTCATTTCCAACTAAAAACACAGACATTTTTCCCTGCACTGATTTTTTTTTAAAGATATAATTCACATACCATACAATTTACTAATTTAAGGTGTACAGTTCAATGGTTTTTAGTATATCCACAGTTGTGCAACCATCATCACAATCAACTTTATAGCATTTTCACCATCCCAAAAGAAACCTCATACATTTTAACAGTTGTCCCAATTCCCCCAAACCCTTAGCCCTAGGCAACCACTAATCCACTTTCTGTCTCCGTGGATTTGCCTATTCTGGACATTTCATATAAATGGAATTATACGATTTGTGGCTTTGTGTCTGGCTTCTTTCACTCAGCATAATGGTTCAAGGTTAATGTCTGTTGTAGCCTGTATCAATGCTGTGTTCCTTGTTATGGCTAAATAATATTCCATTGTACCACTGTACCATATGTTATCTATCCATTTGGTGGACATTTGGGTTATTCCAACTTTTGACTATTATGAATAATGCTGCTACAAAATTCATGGAAAAGTTTTGAGTGGACATATGTTTTCATTTCTCTTGGGTCTTCTCTAGGAGTGAAATTGCTGGGTAACTTTATGTTTGGCCTTTTGAGGAAGTGCCAGGCTGTTTTCCAAAGGGGCTACAGCATTTTACATTCTCACCAACAGTGCATGAGGGTTCCAATTTCTCCACATCCTCACCAACACTTGTTATTATGTCTTTTTTATTATAACCATCCTAGAGGGTGTGAAGAAGGCACTGGTAGTTCAGTGGTACAATTCATGCCTTCCATGCAGGAGACCTGGGTTTGATTCCTGGCCAATGCTCCTCAAGCTCAGCCAGCACTTGTCTGTCAGTGGAGGTTTGTGTGTTGCTATGACACTTAAAATGTTTCAGTGGAGTTTCCAGACTAAGACAGACTAGTAAGAAAGACCTGGCAATCTACTTCAGAAAATCAACCAGTGAAAATTCTATGGATCATAATGATTTGAAGCCATTGTGCATGGAGTCTCCATGAGTAGGGGGTGAATTGAATGCAGCCAACAACAGAAAAGGAACCCTGGTGGCACAGTGGTTAAAAGCACTTGGCTGCTAACCAAGAGGTTGGTGGTTCAAACCCACTAGCCACTTCATGGGAGAAAGATGTGGCAGTTGCTTCTATAAAGATTTACGTCTCGGAAACCCTATAGGGCAGTTCTACTCTGTCCTATAGGGTTGCTATGAGTTGGAATCAAATCGATGGCAGTGGATTTGACTTTTTTTTTTTTTTTTAAACAATAACAGAGGATGTGAAGTGGTGTCTCATTGTGGTTTTGGTTTACATTTCTCTGATGGCTAATCATCTGAGGACTTTTTATAATAAGCCGCCTTTACAATGAGGGTTATCTGCCCAATTGTTATGTCACCTGATGTGGTGATGCCTCTGAAGACTGGAAGGGTCTGTACTTCCTCTTCAGTTCTCCCTTAATAGCGCAGTAACGCCAATTGCGTGGTGCTTATGTTAGCCGGGCAGCCATTCAAAGCCTTCTTGAACACCGACAGAGCCAGGCACTGTGCTGGGTGCTAGAGATACGGTGAAAAAGCAAGATCTCACCCCAAGGACAGCATGGTGGATAAGGGCATGGCTCTGGGTTTGAATCCTCACTCTGTCACCTTCTAGCCATGTGGCCTTGTGCAAGGTGTTTAACCTTGCCCCGCCTGTTTCCTCATCTATGAAATAAGGCTGCTCTGTGAGTTCAATGAAGTATTCTGTATGAAGCATGTAGGACAGTGTCTGGAACATGAGTGCTCAGTAGATAAGTGTTATTGTTAAAGATGAAGTCAGACAATTAAATAATAACATTAATGGATAATGACTTATGATGGGAGAAGTATAAAGTGTCATGGTAACACATAGAGGGGACCCCTGACCGAGACCAGGGTCTAGGAAAGGCTATCCAGAGGAAGTCATGTTTAAAATGAGAGGTGGAGGATGAGCAGGTATTGGCCACAGCAAGGGCAAGTATGTGATGTGCCTGTGCGTGTGAGGGGAGCATTCCTGGCAGAGGAAACAGCTTGTGCAAAAGCTTGGAGGCAACACAAGAGAGCATGGCATATGTGAGAGACTGAAATGTATTCAGAACGTCTAGAATAGCACTGTCCGATAGAACTTTCTGCAATGATAGAAAAGTTCTACATCTCTGCTGTCCAAAATGGTAGCCACTGGCCACATGTGACTACTGAGCATTTGAAACGTGGCTGTATGACTGAATAACTGAATGTTTGACTCAGTTTAACTGTGATTGATTTAAATTTACATAGCCACCGTGGCTAGTGAACTGCCATATTGGACAGCGCGGGTCTAGAGTGTGAAGTGCAAGACAGCTGCAATGTGAGAAGAAAGTGGAAGTAGGGAGACAGGCACAGGGCTGGGGTGTGAGTTTGCATTTTATTCTAAGGGCCACAGGAAGCTATTGGAGGCTTCTAAGCCAGGCAGTGAGGAGCTCTGGTTTTCATTTCTGAAAGATCACTCCAGCTACTGTGAGCAGAATGAATTATGGGGGTGAGAGTGGGGCAGAGAGGCCAGGGAAAAGAAGATAGTGGCTTGGACCAGGTGGGTAGTGGGGATGATTCAGAAGGAGACAAATTTTTTGGGGGGGGGGGCATTGCTGGCGGATTGATTCAGGGAGTAAGGGAGAGGGGGAGAAGTCTTAGGGTCGCTTGGATGGTGGCTGTGTCCCCAAGCATGGATGTTGATTCTAGACCAGGGCAGGGCCAAAACCAAACCAAACCCGTTGCCATGCAGTCGATTTCAACTCATAGTGACCCTACAGGACAGAGCAGAACTGCCCCATAGGGTTTCCAACTTTGCAATCTTTACGGAAGCAGACTGCCACATCTTTCTTCGGCGGATCATCTGTTGGATTCAAACCGCCGATCTTTGGTTTAGCAGCCAAGTACTCAGCCACTGAACCACCAGGGCAGGGCAGGGAGGCCTATTTCAGGTGTACAAGCCCGCCTCCCTGCCTCCACCTGCTGGCTGGTGCTGGAAGCGCCTTTAACTAGAGGAACTCTGAGGCTGTCAAGGTCCCTGGTGGGGGGGGGGGGTAGGGCGGGGTAAGGCCACTGAGGTGGGAAAGTCCCCCAAACTGCTGGATAAGTGGAGGCACTGCCTACCGGGGGCATCTGTTGGTCTGGGCCTCTCCTCTACCGGGGGCACCCCACATCAACTCTCTCTGCCTCTTGATGGGGTGGCTTTGAGCCACATGGCTGCTGGGAGGAATATGGTGGGGCGGCAGTTATCTCCCAGGGAAGGGTAGTGGCTAGATGTCAGTGTAGTGGGGCAGGAACCCCCCACCCCAGGCCGTCTCCACCCCTGGCCAGACCTCAGCTCTCAAGGGACGCCTCTGGTTGCCCCCACCCCACCCTGAGGCCTCAGTGGCTAGACAGTGGGGGGAAGGGAGGGGCGTGTCTCCCCGAGATCAGGGTGGGGCCGTGGTCCAGATGGTCAGTCTCCTGATGGCCAGCCTGGCCTGACAGGAGAGCTGAAGCCCCACTCCCCACCGTGCTGGCTGGGCCAGGCGGGGTGAGGGTAGGGAAGACAGAGAAGGTCATAATCGGCGAGGCGAGGGAGGTTCCTGCGGCGCCTCGGCTGTCAGCGCGCCGTCGCCCACCCCACTTCCTCCGACAGCCCGCTGCGCGCGAGGAGGCGCGGGGATCCCAGCGCGCAGCTCGCCACGCCCTGGCCTTTGCCGTGCGGGTAAGTCCGTGGGCCAGCCGAGGCCGCCGGAGGGCCCCCAACCTGACGGTGAAGGATGGGGCAGGGACACCCCGTGGGCTCCTGGATCCCTCTGCGCCAAGCCAAGGTCTACATGCGGCTCCAGCCGCCTCTGCTTGTCCAGCCAGGCCCCTTCCTCTGCTGCCAGGGTGGGCTGGGCGGCCTGGAGGTGGGGTAGGGACTGGCTCTACAGCTATTGCTGCTGGGGCTTAGGAGTGGCTGTGGCAGAATGGCCGGAGGGGGTGAGGAGGTAACAAGGCTAAATGGTCTCTGGCCGGAGAAGACACCCCATTGTAGGCAAGAAGATGATGGGTTACAACGGCAAGTCAAGGCGGCCACACAGGTCCCAGCCTCCTTTGCTTCTGTGGGAAAATGCTCCAGGCAGGTCCCCAGGGTCTGGGAGAGCCTGAGACTGGGCCAGCTCGAGTGGACCAGGCCCTGCCCCCATCCCACCTCTCTACTTCCCCTCCTTCTGCCCTTTCCCCACCCACCTCTGGCTCTTTTCCTTCTGCTCCTGCCCATGGTGGGTGGTGGCGGGGCACAGGGGCTATCCCCCTCCTGACTGGGGCCTGCCCCTTGCCATGTGATGGGAGCTGCGGTTTCAGTTTTCCTGTGAGGGTGAGAGTGGGCTGTCAGCTGAGCCCAGCCCAGGGCTCAAGGTGGGGCTGTCTGGCAGAGAGAGCTTGGGGCTCCCTCCCCACTCACAAGACCCCGGAGACCCTGAGGCATAGAGAAGTGGCGTTATATGCCTTCAGAGGTGAGTCAGACAAAATACAGAGCCAGCCTGGAAGGATTTTGAGAACATCATGGTAGATAGAGTAAGATGGCTTTAGACCAGGCTCTGCTAACAGCAGGGTGACGTTCGGAAAGCCACTTCCTTTTCTGCGGCTTAGTTGTCCTGGTTTTCTAGACTAGAGTTTAACTACACCAGTGATTTTCCAGTGGTTTCCCCCTGAGCTCTCCTTGGGCTGAGAGAGGCCGAGGGACCGGCCCTACCCAGAAACTGTACTTTTTTTGTTTTAAATTAATTAATTTTTTTATTGTACTCAGGTGAAGGCTTATAGAACAAATAGTTTCTCATGGAACAGTAGTACACATATTTTTTATGACATTGGTTAACAATCCCACAACATGTCAACCCTCTAACTTCCCAACCTTTTTTTTTTTGGTGAAAATACACATAGCCAAAGATACACCATTTCAAAAATTTCTACATGCACAGTTCAATGACATTGACTATGGTCTTCCAATCGTGCAGTTATTCTCACTTAAGATGAAGGATTACAGAACAAAATAGTTTCTCATTTAACAGTTACTACACGTGTTGACCTATGACAATGGTTAACAATCTCACAACACATCAACAATATCCTTACTCAACCTTGTGTTCCCTATCACCAGCTTCCTTGTCTCCTTCTGCCTTCTGGCCCTTGTCACTGGACTACTGTACCTCGTTAGTCTCATTTGGTTTTAAGGGGCTGTCCACTCCCAGGCTGAACAGTGAACCTCAGAGATAACTTCACCACTGAGCTAAAAGGGTGTCTGGGGGCCATACTCTCGGGGTTTCTCCAGTCTCCTTTAGGCCAGTAAATTTGGTCTTTTTTTTTTGTGAGTTAGAATTATGTTCTACATCCTTCTCCAGCTCTGTCCAGAACCCTCTGTTGTGATCTTGGTCAGAGCAGTCAGTGGTGGTAGCCGGGCACCATCTAGCTGTACTGGACTCAGTCCGGTGGAGGCCTTGGTAGCTGTGGACAATTAGTCCTTTGGACTAATCTTTTCCTTGTATCCTGTTCTCTTCATTCTCCCATGCTCCCGAAGGGATGAGACCAGTGGAGTATCTTAGATGGCTGCTCACAGGCTTTTAAGACCCCAGACACTACTCACCAAGGTAGAATGTAGAGCATTGTCTTTATAAGCTGTGTTACGCCAATTGAGCTAAATGTTCCCCAAGACCATGGTCCCCACAGCCCTCCGCCCAGCAATTCGGTCCCTCAGGGAGTTTGGATGTGTCTATGGGGCTTCCATGACCTTTCCTTGTACCAGTTGTGCTAGTTTCCCCTGTATTGTGTACTGTCTCACCCTTCACCCAAGATACCACTTATCTATTGCCTATTTAGTATTTTCCCCCCACCCCTCCCATCCCTGGTAACCAGCAAAGATTGTTACATTTTGTGTGTGAACTTTTTCATGGGTTTTTACAATAGATGTCTCATACAATATTTGTCCTTTTGTGATTGACTTATTTCACTCAGGATAATGTCCTCCAGTTTCATCCATGTTATGAGAAGTTTCGCAGATTCATTGTTGTTCTTTCTCGTTGCATAGTACTCCATTGTGTGTATGTACCATAGTTTGTTTATCCATTCATCTGTTGATGGGCATCTAGGTTGTTTCCATTGTTTTGCTATTGTGAACAATGCTGCCATGAACATAGGTGGCAGCAACTGTACTTTTATCTGTTGTGAGTATTGGCTTCTGAGCGAGATGTTGTTTGGAGGAAGGGTTCTGCAATTAATGCAAAAAGTTGTTACCTCTGGGCCTGGGGCTGTTGGCGTCTGGGATTTTAGGCAGTCCCAGAGAGAAAGTCGAGTACTTGATTTGAATCTGATGGCTTCTGGCCCTTTTTGTAGGCCAACATCAGAGAAGGCAGCCCTTTTGAGTTCCTGTTCATCACTTGTTCCAGGATGTGAGGCCACCCTCATGGCACAGGCCTCCCTCTCTTGCCTCACCTTCTGCCTTCCCTCCTCCTGCTCACCGCTCCCCCCCACCCACTGGTTTGAGCTCCCTCCCTCACTGTGGGTGGGTCTACTTGCATTGACCTTCTAAACATTTCCTATTGCAGGCCCCAGCCAGAATCTCACCCCAACCCAGCCTTGGGGGAAGAGGGGACCTCCTGACATCTGTGTCTCCACAGAGGTTGGAGCTGGACAGAGCAGCCTCCAACCGTTAGGATGACCTCGCCCTCCAGCTCTCCTGCTTTCAGGCTGGAGACATCAGATGGAAGCCAGGAAGATGGCACCAAGGGGGACAAAGGAAATCTAGGCCATGGGGATGGGCCTGCCCCCATGGAGTCACCATTCCAAGGCGAAGACCGGGACTTCTCCCCTCAGATCAAAGTGAACCTCAAATACCGAAAGGGATCAGGTGCCTGGTGAGGAAGCGAATGGGGTGGGGTGGGGAGCCTCTTTCCTCCAGCAGAGTCCTGTGCTTCCTTCTCAGACTCAGTGAGACTGACAGGCTCAACTCCGCTGTACTCTCTGGGGTTCCTCTTTCTGGAACCCTCCTCACTCTTGGCCTTCGGCCCTCTGAGATCTTGTTCTGCTTAGTAGGGACACACTCTTCCAACTGCCCTTCACATCCCCCTTGTTTGTGCCCAGCCCCTTCCCCTGTTAGGGCCCCTGTGGGGGATGGTAGCAGGATCCACATTCCAGTCTTGGGAGAGAATCAAGGACTGGAAATTTCCCAAGTATTTCTCAGTTCTGCTCCATGGCTGACCCTGTCCCCCAGGGAATGTGGACTTGGGCTAGAGGGCAGTGGCTTCTGCTGGGAGTCCTCTGCTCCCTGACTTTCTTGGTAGTCTCTCCACCAATTTGTATTATGTGAGCTCTCTACTGCCTGGAGTCCTGCTTCCAGTCCAGCGGGGAGCTGCACCTGGCATCCCCCACCAACATGAGGCCTGCCATATGAGACAAGAGAGTCCTTCTGGACCAGGCAAGGCTGCCAGGGAAGCCCCTTTCTTCCCCCCTCATGCCTGAGACATGGCTACCAGCCTTGGCCGCACGGGATAGAGCCCCCGTGCTGTTTGAGCTGGAGGATGGTGGTTTGTTTTGGCCCCAGGCCAGGAAAGGATGGGAGTACGAGGCTTCTGGCAGCTGTTTCACTGCCTCTATCCGAGCCCTCATTGGACGTCCTTATCCCAGGACCATGATACCATCCTGGTGATTGGAGGTGCTTTCTTTGTCCAAATGGCCCACTTCCTCTGGCCAGACTCCCCACAGGGCTCGAGTCAGCCGCAGAGTCTTCTTGCTCATGCTGTGGCCACATGGTCTGTGAGGTGGGTGCAGCGTGAGGCAGACACGCAGCCTCCTAGTGTTCATGAGGCAGTGGCTTGCTCTAGTACGGTCATGCCGGTACAGCCATCACCCCTAACCAGAGAGCCACAACCACTACCCACCCACCTGACTGGCCCATTCCAGGGATATGTGGGCTGGGATGTGAGGGTCCTCGAAGCATCCAATGCTGCCCCTCCCCCTTGTTATGTCCCTTCATATCTGCTGCTCATGGTGACAGGAGCCCCAGGGACAAGTTTGCCTCCTGTGAATAGTAACATTGCTCAGGAGGGAGTGCTGCACACCCCTCCCACCCCCAGGCACTGCTAGCTTTGTCTCAGCTACAAGGCTCCATTGAGGGCCTGTGGGGGAGATGTCCTAGAAGGGAGGCTTCTTAGTAAAACTCTGTGCTGGGCACACCTATTACTCTAAGACTTGCAGAAACCCCTTGCTGCCCAGCTTGGAATCTCTCTGGGGGTTAGGAGTCAGGGTCTGGAGTTAGACTACCCCTGTCAGAACCCCAGTTCTACACTGACTATCTAGCACCTGTGTGACTCTGAGCACATTACTTTACCTACTTGTTTGTCTCAGTGGTGATTCCTGACCCCTAGGGCTGAAGCGAGCATTAAAGATGAAGATTCCTCCATAGTTAATCAGTAAGTGGTTCCCTTCTTTGAGGCCAGTGGTGCATACAGCTACTCTGTCTGTGATCCCATTCAGACCCAGACCCAAGGTCAAGAGCCACCACAAGTGGCCTCTACTGAAATAGACCCCTCATTTGTGAAGTGGGATATTGCATTTCTTGTGAGACAGGATCTAAACATCTGGCAAATGACCTGATGCTGAAGGACCTGTGATGACGGGGGTCCTGGGGATGCTTTTCAGATCAGTACCCTGGACAGCCACCCCGGGACTGCCAGCACGTGTGGTCTCGGCCCAAGGAAGGCAGAGACCCCATAAGAGCCTCCCTCAGAGCTCCTGGGCTTGCCAGGGGCAGAGGACTGGTGGCTGGGGGAGTGGAGTCCCTTCTCCAGCATGAGTCACAAGCCACCTTTCCTGGCAGCCAGCCAGACCTAGACCGCTTTGATCGTGACCGGCTCTTCAGTGTGGTCTCCCGGGGTGCCTTGGAGGAGCTGGCTGGGTTGCCAGAGTACCTGCGTCGGACCAGCAAATACCTCACTGACTCGGAATACACAGGTAGGCCCATCCTGCGGGGCCAGAGGTAGCGTTACCTGGGCTGACTGGTGAGCTAGCTGCCTGTCGCCCCCTGGCTGCTCTGGAATGTTCGCTGGATGCCCTGTGGACACAGCAGAGGACAGCCGGGCCTCCCACCTCCACTCACCGCCACCCCCCTACCCGCCCATTTCAGTGGCTGAGTGGATACTTGTGGGCACCCTCAGAGCATTCTTTTATTAATGACAGCATTATTGAGACATAATTCACACACCTTACACCTCGCCAACCTCAGAGCATTCTTTGCCCCCCAGTTTAAATATCTTTAACGTTTGGGTTGATTAGAAAATAGTATTTGTGCACTACGGAAGACTCAAACAGTAAGGCAATGCATAAAGCCGAGGGTTAAAACAGCCTATCATCTTGAGACCCTGTTAATGGTTTGGGGTACATCTTTCCAGACTTTTTGGAGTATATTAGATGTATATCACCTAAGTGGGGTCTTGTCACATACACTGATTTGTAATGTGCTTCCTCTATCTCCCCCACACTTCATCTTGGAGTACTTTCCATTTCAGTACTTTCACTTCTAACTTGTCCCAGGGCAGTGCAAATGGTCAGTGCACTCAGCTGCCAGCCAAAAGGTTGGAGGTTCAAGTCCACCCAGACGAACCTTGGAAGAAAGGCCTGGTGATCCACTTCCAAAAAATCAGCCATTGAAAACCCTATGGAGCACAGTTCTACTCTGTCACTGTGGTGTTACTGTGAGTCAGAATCGTCTCCACAGGAACGGTTTTGTTTTTTACTTTTAACTCAGTCACTTTAACAACTGCAGAGTTTTCCACTATGTAGATTTACCATAATTTAGTTAACCGGATTCTTTGTTGACAGCCATTTAGGTTGTTTGTAGCTTTCAGCCTCAACTTTCTGTGTGCCAGGCCCTCTCTGTGCTAAACAATTTGTATATGTTATTCTGCTGGATCCCTACAATAGCCCTAGAAGTGTTATTCCCATTTTACAGTGAGGAAAACTGAGGGGAAGAGAGGTCAAGTGACTTGTCTGAGGAGACAGAGCCATTAAGTGGGGGAGCCACTTACAAATACTGCTATGGATGTCTCTGTATAGACATCTCTGCACCTAGGACAAATTATGTCTTAGAAACCTGATTTCTAGGGCAGAATTTGTAGTCCTTTTTAATACTGTTGGTGTTTTAATATCTGTTGGTTGGAGTGTAATACCCTCCAGCATGGCTGTGCCTACTCAGGCTCCCAGCAGCAGTGCATGCCAATCTTTTTTCATTTCCAAGGGGAACTTTAGGAACCTGGGGCTTGCTGCACGGACTGGCAGGCAGCCCAGTGGCTCCAGATCACGCATCCCCCCCACCCGTTCCCCTCCCTTCTCCCTTCTCCCGCAGAGGGCTCCACAGGGAAGACATGTCTGATGAAGGCCATGCTGAACCTTCGGGAGGGCACCAATGCCTGCATCCTGCCGCTGCTGCAGATTGACCGGGACTCTGGCAATCCCCAGCCCCTGGTCAATGCCCAGTGCACAGATGAGTACTACCGAGGCCACAGTGCTCTGCACATCGCCATCGAGAAGAGGAGCCTGCCGTGTGTGAAGCTCCTGGTGGAGAATGGGGCAGATGTGCACGCCCGGGCCTGCGGCCACTTCTTCCAGAAGCGGAGCCAAGAGGCTTGCTTCTACTTCGGTGAGCGAGCCTGTGTTGGATAAGTTGAGGTGTAGAGGGGATGAGGGCCTTTCTTTCCTAAGGTCACATGGTTAGAGTGTGGCAGAGCTGGCACTTACACCCAGGTCTGCCTGACACTGATGCCCATGTTTTTACCCACCTGGCTGCCTGCAAAAGCGATTTGTCTTAAGAGTTGTTTTATCCTCATCGGCACACGCCCAGGGGCGAGGAGTGGGCAGCTAGGACAGGCGCACGGCGGGATTGACCAGACAGGGCCTGATGGCCAGAGTAAAGAGGTATCCATGCCAGGCAGTAGTGTGTCTGGGCTCTGGCAAAGAAAAGAGAAAGTGGGGAGATGGAATCCTTGGTTGGCCAGACACTGTTTGGTCCCCTTTGCCTTGGGTCAGAGCAGGACAGGGCTGCATCTGCCAGTGCCCCTAGGAAGAGGGGCCAGCTGCCTGAGCAGGGCCTGGGGCTGTCCTCCTCCTAGCATGTTGGCCTGGGTGGGCCCAGCTCCTGGCCCCAGCCCTGAGGCAGTGCTCCTCCTCCCCTGTGGTGCAGTGACCTGGGTCCTGGCGGCTTGGCCCTCTGCTCAGAGGAACGTGGGAAGTAGGCAGGTGGAAGGGGGAGGCTCGAGGCCCAAGCTGCCCCCTCCCCCCCAGGTGAGCTGCCCCTCTCTCTGGCCACGTGCACCAAACAATGGGATGTGGTGACCTACCTCCTGGAGAACCCACACCGGCCGGCCAGCCTGCAGGCCACTGACTCCCTGGGCAACACGGTGCTGCACGCCCTGGTGATGATTGCCGACAACTCGGCAGAGAACAGTGCGCTGGTAACCGGCATGTACGACGCGCTCCTGCAGGCTGGCGCCCGCCTCTGCCCCTCCGTGCAGCTTGAGGACATCCCCAACCTGCAGGGCCTCACGCCCCTGAAGCTGGCCGCCAAGGAGGGTAAAATCGAGGTGAGTGGCCACCCCCTCCCCTCTCCAGGAAAGCAGCAGGATCTCTGCAGAAAGGGGGGTGGTGGTGGTCTAGGGCAGTGGTCTCTACACTCTTTGATTAAACACCCCTACTAGTAAGAATAACTCTGTGGGGCAGTTCTACTGTGTCTGATAGGGTAACTATGAGTTGGAATCAACTTGATGGCAGTGGGTTTGGTTTTTGGTTTTTTTATCAGTAAGAATGGAGCCCTGGTGGTGTAGTGGTTCTTAACCAGTAACCAAAAGGTCGGCAGTTCAAATCCACCAGCCACTCCTTGAAAACCCTATGGGGCAGTTCTGCTCTGTCCTATAGGGTCACTATGAGTTGGAATTGATTCGACAGCAACTGGTTTGGTTTTTGGTATTAGTAAGGAGTCCCTGGGTGGTGCAAGTGGTTAACATGCTAACAAAAGGTTGGAGGTTCATGTCCACCCAGAGTTGCCTAGGAAGAAAGGCCTGGTGATATGCTTCCAAAAACTCAGCCATTGAAAACCCTACGGAGCACAGTTCTACTCTGACACACATCGGCTTACCATGAGTCAGAATTGACTTGGTGGCAAATGGTTTTTCAGTAAGAAAATTTTCAGTATACACTTCTAATATATTTATTTATTTATAAATTACTTATGTACTACTGGACTAATATGTTATGTCATAAAACATAGGAATTTTTGAAATTAAAATAAGAAATAAACATACATGAAAGTTTTAATATTTTACTCCTGCTCCCCAATTTCCAAAGCGCCTGCTGTGGTGTGTGAATGCCACTTGGTTGTCTAGAGGCGTGGCTGTGTGGCCTACATAAGGTACTCCCAGGTCAGGACCCTGTTTACCCCCATCCTCATTTGTAAAATCAAATTGCTTCTTAACTTGTTGGGGTTAGATACCCCTTTCTACATCTGCTGGAAGCTCTGGATTCTGAACACAGATGTGCACACGTGCATACCTGAGAGCCTCTGACCCCAAGTGGCCTTGAGGACCCCTGGTCAGGTGTGTCTCTGCCATTTGAAGAGTCTAGGAAAGGTACAGCTGTGGGCAGGAGTTGGGAAGAAAGAGACAGGCCCTGGGCACATGTGGGTGGGTGATGGAATGTCTGTGCTGTGGCTGAGCACGTGTGCACATGTGAGAGCTTATACATACAGGGACACTTGTGTCTGGGGTGTGCATGTGTCTGATGCAGCTCTGCAGCTGGTGGGCAGCTCTTCAGGGCACTGAGTGCTTCCCCAGCCTCTGGCCCCGCAGGCTCAGGCAGCTCGCCCTCCAGATTTTCAGACATATCCTGCAGCGGGAGTTCTCAGGGCAGTGGCAGCCCCTTTCCCGAAAATTCACTGAGTGGTGCTATGGGCCTGTCCGGGTGTCGCTGTACGATCTGGCTTCTGTGGACAGCTGGGAGGAGAACTCAGTGCTGGAGATCATTGCCTTTCACTGCAGAAGCCCGGTAAGCCCACAGGGGCTGTGGGTGTGGGACGTGGGCCAGGCAGAGCTCCTGGCAAGGCTCACAGCTCAGGGCAGCCTGCTGGACCCCACTGGCCCTGTCTCTGTGCCATGGGGGTGTGGCTGCATGTCCAGGCGGGTATCGCCCTGGCTCCGGCTGCTGGGCTCACGCTCATTCCACACTCCAGTTCCAACCACCCAGGGGTCATGCCAGGGTCACTGTGGCAACCACTGAGGGCAGCCCTGTTGACCAGCATCTGCTGCACCTGCTCTGGAGTGGAGAGAGTGGCCCTTGGTCACTTCACAGCCACAATGGCTGGGGTGCAGGGAGGCGAGCAGGGGTCATTTGGGGCTCCTGGGGGTGCGGGAGCCTGCTCCCCATCCTCCCCTCTGCCCTTGCATTGTGCCCGCCATGAAGTGGGCTCCCTATGTATACTTGCCTAGCATACCCATGGCTCTCTGCTCCCACCCCAGCACCGACACCAAATGATTGTTTTGGAGCCGCTGAACAAACTGCTGCAGAGGAAATGGGAGCTGCTCACCCCCAAGTTCTGCTTCAACTTCCTGTGTTACCTGCTCTACGTGATTATCTTCACCACTGTTGCTTACCACCAACCTGCCCTGGAAAAGGTAAGGCCCAGGGAGGGGGTGCATCCTGGAAGATATGGAGCAGAGATCACCATGCCCTTCCTCCAGCTGATGGTACTGAGGCTTAGAATGCACGAGTAACAGCATGGAAGCCAGCGCCATCATGGTAATAGCAATCCTCATACTTTGTACAGTATTGACTGAATGCTGTCCATATATGAGAAAGTATTCTAAGTGATCTACATGTGTTAACTTATTTAATGGGTAGTGCAAACAGTTAAAGTGCTTAGCTGCTAACCGAAAGGTTAGAGGTTCAAGTCCACGCCTCAGAAAAAAGGGCTGGCAATCTATTTCCAAAAAAATCAGCCACTGAAAATCCTTGGACACAGTTCTACTCTGATACACATGGGGTCGTTATGAGTCTGAGTCGACTTGATGGAAGCTGGTACTGATAACTTATTGAACGCTCCCAACAGTCCTTTGAGATGATGAACTGCCAGTATCCGCAGTTTATAGCTGAGGAAAGGGAGACACGAAGAAATTAGGTAATTTATTCAGGTTAATGCAGCTTGTGAGTGGTGGAGACGGGATTCATAGTGGCCAGTCTGGCTCTAGAGCCCACGCTTGTAACCACTCCACAAAGTGCTTCTCCATAGACTGGAATCCTGCTCCTGTGCTGCAGCCCAGGTACCTTCTGCGGCCCTGTGTGACCTCTCTGCAGCTCAGGCCTGGAACTGGCCCTTGAATCTAGCTCCCAGAGGGTGGGCTGCTGGGGAGAGGACCCTCAGCCCTCGGTTCTATCTGACTGTCTCTTCAGCAGGCTTTCCCTCCCCTGAAAGCCACGGCTGGAAACTCCATGCTGCTGCTGGGCCACATCCTGCTCCTGCTCGGGGGGCTGTACCTCCTTTTGGGTCAGGTGAGGGTTCCTCCTCCCCCCCTACCCCCCCACCCCATGTGGCACCCAGCCAACCAAGAAGCAAACTAGAATTCAGCTACAGGGGCCTTAGAGCAAGTTCACCTCAATCCCTCATTTACAGGCAAACTGAATCCCATGCCCAGTAACACCCAGAGGGGTGTGGGTGCTGGCCTCCCTCTCTGCTGTGTTTTCTGGGGTGCCTGTAGGGTACCCAATGGTCCCTCGGCAGTGCTGGCTCTGTCCTTCTGGAGCTCCAGCTGGAAGCCCCTCCCCCAGGTCCTCGGTGGGGCCCTCCCAACTTGAGGAGCACAGGAGGCTGTGGGCAGGAGGGGCCCAGCCCACCTCCCCCAGCAGGGCCGGTTCTGTTGAAAAGGCTGCAGGTTTACCGGAGACAGGCTGGCCACCATGGCACTGAGATTCCTGGGAGCTGCAGAGCTAAATCCAGTCTGTGCAGTGGAGTGCCCTGTGAAGCCAGGAGTGGGGATGGGAGAGAGCGCTCCTGCTCACCTTGGTGGTGGGTTCTTAATCTGGATCTGCAGGGAACACTGTCCAGGTGTCTGTGAGTGGCTGCTCTTTTTGGAAAGAGGGCCCAGAGCTTTCTCAGCTTATCAGAAGGATTCACGAGCCCCCAGAAGTCCAAGGTGCACCCTCTGAGAGGGTCTTGCCTGGGGGCCCCCACACAGCCAGGCTTGTAGTCCCTCAGTCCACAGGCAGGGAGCATGGCATGGGTGGGGGGCCCTGTCCCGGGGACTGGGGCACATGTTCACACTCTTCTGTCCCCCACCCCCGGCCCTCCACAGCTGTGGTACTTCTGGCGGCGCCGTCTGTTCATCTGGATCTCCTTCCTGGACAGCTACTTTGAGATCCTCTTGTATGTGGGGCCTTACCCCTCCTCACCCACTATCTCCAAGGGCTGGAAGAGGCGGGTGTGGCAGACAGCACCAGGTTCCTGTAGAGGCGAGGACACAGGGCCCAGGGTGTTAGGACCAGAGTGGAGCCAAACCCAGGAGTCTGGGCTGCTGTCTCACCTTGGGCTCGTTCTGCTCTCGTCCTTGTGGATCACAGCCACGACATTTACATTTGTTGACACTTACTAGGCACCAGTAGAACCTGTGTTCTTTATATGTATTATCTTATTTAACCCTCACAAACACTGTGAGCCCATTTTACAAGGAAGGGAACTGAGGCCCACAGAGGTTAAATAACTTGCCCAAGATGGGTGGGCCTAATCTCAGATAGACCTTGGAGTCCCAACCCCCAGCCCCTTCTGCTCCTGGAAAGCTACTCAAGCCATCAGACTAGGGTGGGAGAGGCAGTGTCAGCACTGGCCAGTGGGGCAGGGGTGCCTGGGAGCTGATCCAGACCCTCCCCTTGCAGCCTGCTCCAGGCCCTGCTCACAGTGCTGTCCCAGGTGCTGTGTCTCCTGGCCATCGAGTGGTACCTACCCCTGCTTGTGTCCTCGCTGGTGCTGGGCTGGCTGAACCTGCTGTACTATACACGTGGCTTCCAGCACACAGGCATCTACAGCATCATGATCCAGAAGGTGAGAGGGAGGTGTGGTCTGAGGCAGCTGCTCAGGTAGGGCCGGATGTAACATGTCAGGCAGGCAGGCAGGGGCCTTCACCCACGGCTAACCTGGGCAGAGGAGACCCGGAGCGTCTGCCTGGGAACCATCCACCCAGACGTTTGCTGCGTGTAAGCACAAGCGTGAGCCTGCACACACACGCTCTCGGGTCTGCACACATACGTACACGTGTGTGTGCAAGCATTCATATGGGGAAATGTGCATCCTTGCACACCGATGGAGCAGAAGATATGCACATAAGCTCATTGGTGTTTCTGTGCCCTGGAACATGTGGGCATGTGTGTCTACATGCATTTATTTAGGGAGCATCTACTAAGTTCCAGCAGTGTTCTAAGTGTTGGGAATCCAAAGGTGAACAAAATAGACAAGGCTTCACTCTCTGAAGCCGGCATTCTAGTGGGGGAAACGAAAACAAATGAGAAAATTCCATACTGCTAGATTCTGTGAAGGAAATATCTAGGGTAATGGGATGCAGAATAACTGGGGCAGGGGTACTTTAGCTATGATAGTCTGGGAAGGCCTCTCTGAAAAGGTAACATTTAAGTTGTGACCTGAAAGACTGATTCAGCCATCACAGAGCCAAGGCCCAAGTGCTTGGGAATGCAGAGGGCACAGGGCCAAAGCCCTGAGCCAGGACAGGCCTGATGTGGTTGGGGACAGAGAAGGCTGGGGTGGCTGGAAAAGAGTGAGGGAGGGCAGAGGGCAGAGAGGAGGCTGCGGAGGAAGGTAGGGGCTAGGAGACTTGTTGGCCACGGAGGGGTCCCTGGGTGGTGCAAATGGTTACGCACTTGGCTGCTAAATGAAGGGTTGGAGGTTTGAGTCCATCCACCAGTGCCTCAGAAAAAAGACCTGGCGATCTGCTTCAGAAAAATCAGCTATTGAAAACCCTGTGGAGCACAGTTCTACTCTGACATGCATGGGGTCACCATGAGTTGGTGTTGACTCGATGGCAACTGGTTTTGTTTTGCTTTTGGAGGTTTTAAGCAGAATGATGTGATCTGATACGGGTTTTTTAAAGATCCCTTTGCTCAGTGTGTCTGCACACACGTGTGTGGGAGGGTGTGCCTGGGTGCCCATGCTCGGGGCTGTGTTTGGTGGCTCAGCCACCCACACCAGCTCCTGGGTGCATGTGTTCCAGGTCATCCTGAGGGACCTGCTCCGCTTTCTTCTGGTCTACTTTGTCTTCCTTCTTGGCTTCGCTGTAGGTAAGGCCCCCCGTGGGCCCTGCCTATCCCTTGCCCACCCTGTACACCCTCAGGGCTGCTACCCAGACTAAGGACACCCTTCCCTCCCTCCTGCAGCCCTGGTGAGCCTGAGCAGGGAGACCCAGGGCCCCAAGGCCCCCACAGGCCTCAATGCCACGGAGGCGGCACATCGCGGGGTGGGACAGGACTCCAAGGGCAGCGTGGCCCCGTATGGGGGCATCCTGGGCGCCTCCTTGGAGCTTTTCAAATTCACCATCGGCATGGGCGAGCTGGACTTCCAGGAGCAGCTGCGCTTCCGTGGGGTGGTGGTGCTGCTGCTGCTGGCCTACGTGCTGCTCACCTACATCCTGCTGCTCAACATGCTCATCGCCCTCATGAGTGAGACCGTCAACAGCATAGCCACCGACAGCTGGAGCATCTGGAAGCTGCAGGTGCCACCGGGGAGCCACCCATCCCCACCCCAAGAACCCAGCTGAGCCGGGCCCATCTGAGTGTGTGCAGAGGCCTGGGTCCCCTCTTCCAGTCATTCCTTTACAGGGCTGGTGTGAAGATCGAATACTCTCACAGATGTAAAATGCTTTGGACAGTGCCAAGCGCATAGTAGGTGGTCAGTGTGTCACCTATTATTATCAGTGTTATTATCAAGTGTTGGCTGAGTCCCTACTACTTGTAGGTCTAGGCACAGTGCTAGGAGCTGAAGACACAGCGGAGAACAGCACACAGTACCTGCCCTGTGGAATTTATATTCTATGTTTATCTGTATGTAAGGTCGAGTCGTTTGATGGGGCTGTGAAATCTCTGGGCTGGTCCAGCCTGGGAGAGTTGGGGGGTGGGGGGCAGAGTTCTCTGTCACTAAAGAGGCTGATATGACACCCATCTACCATGGAAGCAACGGCTCCTTCTTGACTAGGGAAGGGTCAGTGTGGATCTGGGCCAGTTGGTGCAGGGAAAGCCTTGCCCAGGTGCTGGCTCTGCTACCAGTTAATAGTGGCCCTTTTGGCAAGCCCCTTACGTCCTCTGAGCTTGCTAAGTCACTGTGTGTGAGCGCGCAGTCGCAGGTACCAGCTGGGCAAGTCAAGAGCTGTCCAGGATGTTAAGGGATTCTGGAAGCTGTAACAATGTAACAGCAATGGCAAGTAATCATGGAGTGCTTGTTCCGCTGACTTCCCAGCCACCACCTGAGGTGTGTTATCCTCATTCTACAAATGGGAAGTGCAGATTCAGAGAGGGCCAGTGCCCAGCGCCACACAGTTAATCAAATGTTGGAGCCGGGCTTCAAACCCACATGCTTGTCAGACTCAGGTTATACTGTAAAGTGCGGTGGTGCACCTTCTGCTCCCCTTGCCCCATGTACCCCCTTCCTCCAGGCAGGGCCCAGGCCTATCTTATGTGTCCTTTGTCCCCAGAAAGCCATCTCTGTCCTAGAGATGGAGAGTGGCTACTGGTGGTGCCGGCGGAAGAAGCAGCGGGCAGGGGTGATGCTGACGGTGGGCACCAGGCCGGACGGTAGCCCTGATGAGCGCTGGTGCTTCAGGTGAGTGAAGTGGACAGGGGGGACTCCAGGTGGGATGGGGGTGGCCCAGTGCCCTGCAGGGAAGGGCAGAGGAGCCCCAGCCTCCTTGCTGTCCTGCCTCCCTGTGCGCCCCAGAGCCTTTGCACAGTCTGCCCACGTGGGGACCTGGGCCCCTTTCCTAGGAAAAGCAGGGCTCACCCCTGGGCTTCCAGAGCCTCAGAGCTGCTGTGTGCACACTCAGGGTGGAGGAAGTGAACTGGGCCACATGGGAGCAGACGCTGCCCACTGTATGTGAGGAGCCGGCGGGGGCCCGAGTCCCTGGTGAGTGGTTATGGGGCCAGAGCCTCTGCCTGGGGGGCTGTGGTAGTGGGCGTGTCTCTGCTTGGCTCACAGCCTCCCCTTCCCCCCAGACCTCTACCCTGCAGTTCCACTTTATGCTAAAGAGGGTGCTTCCTCCCTTCTCTCCCACCCCCACCACCCACTAGCCTGGCTGTTACTCCTTCCTCTGGCCCAGCCCTTGCCCTGTCCCCATCGTGGCCTCCTCCTCTTTCCAACCAGCTGAGCTCCTTTGCCCATTCCGTCTGGTTATGGAGCACCCCAGCCAGGCCTGGGGTGAGCCTGGGCACCTAGCAGGGGAACACATTAGGAGTGGTTCTTCAGACCCAGCTGCCCTAATGCCCAGCCTGCAGCATGGGCCACCTTCTCTAGGAGGGCCCCACCTTCTGCTTTCCCATCTCACATCGCCTTCACCCTTCTGTTCCAGAGACCACTTCTCTCCCCCTGCTCCCTCCCACCAGGGCTGCCTCCTCCTTCCCACCTCTCAGCGGCCTATTTCAGGAGTAGCTCTCTTGATGGGTGGCATGCCCTTTCTTTCTGGAATCTTCAGCAGCTCCCACCTCAAGTCTTTAGTTGGCTCTGCTCCTCTGCTTTCTCTCTCCTTCTCTTTCCTGACAAACTTTACTAGAGACTTACTTGCGAATTTGGCCCTAACCCTCCCCACAAAGGCCTCCTGAGTCACCCACGAGCCTTGCTGTAGGAAGGCTCCTCTGCCTGCTTCTGCTCCAAAGCCTGTTTGTTTCCCAGGCCCCTGGGTTCCTGACCCTGGCTCCTCTCTGCACGAGGCCCTCACATACCTGTACTGATAGGTGTCCTACCTAGGGTACACTGTCTATGGCTCCCTTCCTCGAAGTCCTGCTGCCCCATCACTTCAGTGTTGAGACTCCGAAAGTCACATTTGCAGCCCTCATCTTGTCTCAAGCATTCCACAGGCACTGCCTGTGGGGAGGCCCAACTCAACACCCCCAACCAGAACAGACCCTCTCACTCCTCCCTCCTATACCTGGTGCTAAGTGCTGTCCCCACCTCTCAGCAGACCCTTACCCCCTGCCTGACCCTCGGTTCTGCTGCTCCTGCATCACTTCAGGGGCTGCCCAGCCTGCACCCAGACCTTCAAACAAGTCTTCCTACTCCAGGCTTATCCCACTCCAGTTCCTCCAATGCAGACACAAACTACACACAGACCAGAAACCACAATGCTTCCCGCTGCCTGGAGGCCTCACTCCTCAGCGTGGAGGTGAAGACCCAAAGCTGCTGTCCAACCACATCCCCCGCTGCTCCGTTCCTGTGATAGCCTGGCCACAGTGTTCCTTGTTTTTTGCTTTCCTTGGCTCCTACCTCCGCCAGAAGTGCCCTTCCCACCCCTCTGGGTGTCTGAATCAGCCACCTTTGCTATGGGACACATATCTCTCTTCTCTGAGCCCCCTGAGCCCCTAACCCTGATCTCCCTCCTGCTCTTCAGCCCATCTCTGGTATTCTGATCTCTAACACACAGCCTGTCACATCGCGGGCTTCCAGCTCCTGGCGGAGGCTCTGTTGGCCTTGCTATGCCCAGCACCATGCCTGGCATAGGGTAGGGGTTGAGGACATGCTGTGGAAGGCGGGAGGCAGGAAGAGTGCTGGCTGTGAACAGCATCTGGTGTGGTCCTGTGACTGTGGCCCCTTCTCCTGGGGACATGCCCTTCATCTTGTTTACAGGCACCACGAGGAACCCCACCCTGGCCTCCCAATGTGGGGAGGACGATGCCTCAGAGGAAGGCCATGTGCCCCTCCAGCAACTGGGGCTCCACTGATGGTCCAGACACAGCAGGAGCCAGCAGGACAGAGCAGGGGTCTCTTCAGCCACACCTGTTGGCTCTGGGGCCCCAGTCCATTTTGGTGGAAAATATAAATATTTTTTCATGACTAACTCTTTTGGAAACATTATTTGAGCAAAGTTACTGAGCCCCTGGCTGGTGACATTTGTGTGTCTCAGTGTGCGCATGGCTGTGTCTGGGGCTGGGCTGCTCCTACCCTCACCTCCCAGGAGACCCTCACCTGCCACCCCCAGCCCCAAGCCGTCCTCTTCCTGGGTGCAGGTAGCTGGCCAAGGCGCTGTGCCCGCCACCATGGCAGACACATGGGGTGGACATGGATGAAAACAGTCACCACTCCTTCCTCTCCCACTGCCACCAGGCACCCCTTAAAACTGTCTGCAAAATGTCTCTCAAACCTCCAGTCTCCTTTGTGCCCCTCTGCCGAGTTCAGGCCAGGATTATCACTTTCTCTTCTCACCCGGCTTCCTGCTCAGTTCCCACCCCTCAGAGCCATTCTCTGCAGGGCAGCCAGAGGGGCCCTTTAAGATACAACAGAAACATGTCCCCCTGTGCTCTGAAGGCCTGAGAGCCTCCTTGGTTCCCGCAGAATGCCCTGGCCAGCACCCCAAGCCCTTCATGGTTTTATGTAGCATTTTCAGACACCTTTCCCCCCATCCTCTGGCCCCTCAAGCCCTCCTTAGTTGAGTATTTTTGCCAAATTGTTCATGCAGGTTTATGGGTGTGTGTTTGACCCCCAACCTTGCTCTGGCTGGAAGCCCCTGTTATGGATTGAATTGTGTCCCCCTCAAAGTAAACCAGACCAAACCCATTGCTGTTGAGTCGATTCTGACTCATAATGACCCTATAGGACAGGGTAGAATTCCCTATAGAGTTTCTGAGGCCGTAATCTTTTAAGGAAGCAGATTGCCGCGTCTTTCTGCCTCGGAGGAGCTGTCGGTGCGTTCAAACCGCTGACCTTTCAAATCGCTTAACCACTGTGTCACCAGGGCTCCTTCCCTCAAAAATACGCATTGTAAATCCTCACCCTTATATCTGTGGTTACAATCCCATTTGGGATTGGGAATGGGTTGTCTTTGTTATGTTAATTAGACAGGATTAATATAGAGTGTGTTTTGAGTCAATCTCTTTTAAGATATTAAAGAAGTTAAACCAGCATGCTAGAAGCAGAGATGGGGGAAGAGACACCAAGCCACATGAAGATCACCCGGGAGCAGAACCTCAAAATGGACAAGGACTTTCCTCCAGAGCCGACCCTTCTCCTAGGGCCGGCACCCTGAATTCGAACTTTTACCCTCCTGAACTGTGGGAAAATAAATTTCTGTTTATTAAGGCCACCCACTTGTGGTACTTTTGTTATAGGGTTAGGTGACTAGACAGCCTCCCTCCTTCCATTAAAATCCTACATTTATTTCGGAGACCAGTTCAAAAGCCGCTGTCTTGCTATTTATTGCCTTTCCAGTCAAAATGAATTGCTCTGCCTCGGTGTAATGTGTGTATAAAATGTGAATGCATGTATTTAATATTTTTTAAGCGAGAGAGACCTGACTGAGCATGTTCATATGCTGAAAGGAAAGCATAGCAGAGATAGTTTCCAATGAAGGCGAGCTGGATGGAGGGGTCTCTGAGGGAGGAGTCGGGAGAGGAGAGGAGAGGAGAGGAGAGGAGGGAGAGGCGATAGTGGATGCAGATAAGCCCAGGGACCCCCACTTGATGTCCTCTTGCTCTTACAACCCATTCTAAAGAAGGGTGGTGGAGGTTGTCAGTGCGCAGAGGTGAGAGGCTCCTGGATATTTTGAAGTAGTTGTGGGGGAGAGCCAACTGGAAACGCTTACTAGGGGTATTGGTGGTCGGGAGTCATTTATAAACGTTTACTGCGTGCCAAGCTCTGCAGTTTCAAGCGATCCTCATTAACAACCTTCTGTGGTACCGGTATCTGCATTTTCCAGATGAGCAAACTGAGGCTCGAAAAGGATAAGTAATTTGCTCAAGACCTCACAGGACAGGGACCCAAACTCCAGAACAAGTCACCACAGACCGACGCGCAAAGAAAACTCCGCTCTAGCGTCCTTGCGCAGACGCCCTGCCCCTCGCTCCGCTGTCACTGACCCAGAATTCCGGGAGACGTGGACGAGACCACAGGCACAATAGGAGGGGGGAGTCCTTAGGCGGTGCGGCTAGTCTGTATCTTTGAATGGGCTGGAAGTTCCCGTGAGTCTTTGCCAATGTCAGCCTCCCTTCTGTGAGAAGTGGAACATTCCGACTCCTTAAGAGCCTGAGTCAAGGCAAGGACAGTCTTTCCGCCGTTGCTATGGAGGTAAGTGAGGTGTGTGTCTGGAATTCGCAGCTGCCAGCAAGGGCAAATAAAGAGCAAGAGCTTTTCTAACTTCCGGGATGGTATTTTAGGGAAGCTTACTTACAGGGAGGAGGGCAGTTGTTGGCAACGGTGTGTCTGCCTGGCGCCTGTTCCTTGCGGGCCTTTTTACGGCGCTGCGGCCTTGTGTACGAGAGTCGTGCTGTGGCTGATCGCCCGCGTGGGCCAAGGCTGATGGGCTGCGTGTGTGTTTGGCGGGGCCATCGCCTCCGCAGCCTGGGGCCGCGAAAAGCCGGGCCACCGTGGAGAGTAGGCAAAGCCGAGGAGCTGGGTAAGTTGAGGTCAGGCCCCTATTGGGGCGCTACAGTGGGTGAGGTTTGTAATTGGACCACGAGGAAGGATTGCACGACTGTCCTGATGATATTGGTAATATAGGAAGTGCCGTCAGAAGCGATAACTGACGACGTTTATGCCTGTCTGACTGCAGTCGTTCAAACCTCGACAGTTTAATTGAACATAAAACTGCCAGTGTGTGCCCTACATGTATGCCCTTATTTCTCTATGTTCATGACTGCAGTTCCACTGTGGAGCATGGAAGACAGGAGCAGCATCCCACCGTGAGGTAAGCCCTAGTCTACCTACCTACCCGTTGCCTTCCAGTTGATTTCGACTCATAGCTGCCCTGTAGGACAGTAGAACTGCCCCATCGGGTGTCCAAGCCTGTAATGTTTATGGACGCTGACTGCCACATCATACTGCCCCAGCTGAGCAGCTGGTGGGTTCCAACTGTTGTTTCCCGGTCTGGAGCGAGCGCTTAACCACTGGGCCGCCAGGGCTCTTGAGCCCTAGTCTCGGTAGAGTTTAATATGACAACCGGGTTTGTCATTTTTTGTTATCTTGAATACGCCAAAATCACCGATTGACATTTTAAATGTAATTTTTACACACTTAACACTTAAAATTAAACCAAGTCATTGCATACTGTTAACGCTCAAATAGAAATTTAAGTCTTACACTGCAGCCACAGCCCTAACGTGGAATTGCATTAAAGCTGCAGCTACATACAGAAAGAAACGCTGACACTAAAATATGCCTGGTCCCTGTCCAGGTGTCACTGAACAGTAGTATTAGGGGGAGGTGAGGTGCTTGAGTGCTCTGAAATTGGTAGTAAGAGTGCAGTCAGAAGCAATAACTTTCTGCCTGACTGCATTCACAAGTCCTCATCATTTGCTGGTGCCGGGAGTACGTTGATCTGAACTGAACTGTGATCTTTAATTTTTTACTCACCTAGGTTAAAAATTTGACCTGAGTATTGGAGTTAGGAGCATTGGCCTATCATGAGGTAAGCGTTTGTCTGAGAGGTAGGTTAGTGGTTAATGTGTACCTGTTAAATTTAATTCACATGAAAGTGCTGCTTTGATAGGTCATATATTGACAGTTCCACAAATGAAACTGTTGTCCTTGACCCTTATTTACAGGCTATCCCTGAGCCTTACTGACGTGGGTTTATGGTGGCAGTCAAGTGTGGAGAGGCTAGCCAGAAGGGGTTCCTGTTTTATCCCTCTGCTGTATAATCTTGAACAAATGACCTATCCACTCCTAGATGTAGTTTCCCTTGTCCACGATAACCTCAGGCTTCTGAAGCTTAAAATGAGGTGGCTAAATGGAGGTCACAACCCCCAAAGTTAAGATTTGCTGACTTCTCTGATTAACTCACAGAAAAGCAGCTCTACTAAATACTTTTTGAGCACTCTTGTTAGCATCACTTTGCATTTGTACCTGAGGCTACTGTGGTCAGAAATGCCCCCTGCTCTGCCCTTGTGCTGTGTCTGAGGTAGTGTCTTTCCACTTCCCCAGGGTTGACAACTGAGTGCTAGAGAATGGGACCTGAAGTGCGAGAGTTTGAGAGCTGGCAACCCAAGCTCATCCTGGGAGGTAAGCTTGATCCCGGACAACCAACTACCACAGTGGAATGAATGAAAACCAAGTGTTAAAATTGATGTGCAGAAAAGGATATCACATGATGAAATCACCCAAAATAGCTGGAATTACCGGCAGATAGTGTAGTGGTGAACCTGTGGTTTTCTGAAGATACCTTACATGCTGTGATTGACTGTTGGTTGGAGTGGAAAGTGAGATTGATACCTATTTTCTTTGCAGGCTCTGTCCCCAGAGGATGATCAGCTGTAGCAGGGGCAGAATTTGAAGTCCAGGAACCTGGGGCCGCCATGAATTTGGATGCAGAAAACCTTGGCATTTGATCTAACTCGGAAACATGCTCAACTTGCTGAGCCAAGAAATGTATTTGGCAACTTTTTTTCTAGGACAGGCACATTTATGAGCCAAGCTGCCCAAGAAGATCTTTTTTACATTTTAATATTTAACTTTGGCAGGGCTGAGTTCTTAAAGCTAAAAGCTGTGAATTCCAGTTTGTCCTAGAATGTTCCCATGCAGTTGTAAACTAATAGTTGTAATAAAGGGTTGTCTTTGGTATTGGTTCTTAAAAATGTGTATTTGTGAAGAAAAGGTTACTACTGCCAGGTATTATAGCAATCCAGGTATTAGCATTCAAGATGTTCTCCCCTGTCAATGATAATGGATTTTGACAGTCCCTACACCCTCTGGGCTGTCTTTGCATAGCTTCAGTCAGGAGTCATTTATATATTGTTCCCCTTTAGTGGCAGGCAGGGTCCTTGAGTCTAGCTGCTGTACCTGTGTTGAAATTTTGCCTACCTGGCATGAGGCTGGTAGAGTCATGGCTGGGCTCAGCCTCTCTGCTTTGCCAGCACCCTGCTGTCTTAAGATTGTGGTTCTTCCTGGACTTCATTATCTATACTTGGGGCCAGTGTTTCAGGAAGGGAATTCTTGTCAGGGCCTCTGCTGAAGAGGATTTGGGGAAGGTGTAGGGTGAAACCTTTGTTTGGGACCCTGCAGTTTACCTACTCCCTCCCCAGCTAGCTTATTGGAGGCCCCATCTTAGAGCACATGTTTTGAGAGCCTTCCCTAGTATGGTAGGAATGTGCTCCTCCAAGAGTTACTCACCTCCAGGGATTCCCAGGAATTTTGGGGAGAATAGCTGGAGCGGTTATACTGCTGTAGCCGCCGAGGGGGCATGAGCAAGCCCACCCTGGCAGTTTGGGGTGGTGAGTTACAGGGCTTCTAAGCAGGCCCCAGGCACTGTGGGGCGGCACTAAGCAGCCCGGACTGGACAGGGAAGTAGGTTGATGGGCTTAGAGCTGAGTGGTGGGTGCCACAAATGGAGGCTGAGACTGCTTCAGAAGCAGCAGGCCAGAGCGACTTGGATGAGACCCATTGGGCCCCTGGCCGCCAGCTCCTCCAGTCAGGGTTGGGGTAAAGATTCCAGCCTTCCTGGAGTGTAGCACATCTAGCATTCTAGCTAGAGTTGCTCCCTGAAGAGCAAATTTAATGCAGACTTGGAAAACCCTGGGCCCCAACAGTATTTCCTGGGGAAAAGCTTATAGGATTCACATTGGCTCAAACTACTGGCACCTCCAAACTGTACTGTATCTGCACCCAAAATTTTTTTGGGATGCTGAGCTGAGGGGTGGTGGTACCTGATGTCCCCTGAGCCAGGGATGTCTTCTTGAGACCAAAAGACATAATGGGATTTTTAAAGGGGGAGAATGAGAGGACCAAGAAGTGATAATAAATCCCCGTTTGCGAGATGCTGGGGTCTGGCACCTGGTGGGTGGGGCTACCCAGGCCAGTTTAGGGTTGTAGTCTTGGCCCCCGGATAAGAGTCCCCTACTGCCCTTGGCCATCCTAACCCACAAGGACTCCTGGGTGAGACGTAGCCCCCATCACGTCTGAGCTACAGCTACAGGCTCCCTGCTCTTGCTATGGTCTTCAGCAGGGGCCAGAGGCCCCCCTCCGGGGTCCTCTTGTGTCCCTTCCCGGGCCTCCTCCCCACTACCTGGCCCCTCGCCCAGTTCCAGGATGGTCGGTAGGTGGCCTTGCTTCGGGGAGCGCTTGCGCAGGCTGAGCAGGAAGGGCTGAGGCAGTGAGAAGATGTCCACATTGTTGCCCAGGTCTATCCACGTGACACTGGGGAACTTGCTGGGGTCCTTTAAGGCCTCGGTGAGGTCGCGCAGCAGTGCCCGAGTCAGCCGGTTGCCGTTGAGTGCCAGTGTGGTGAGGCGGGGCAGGGTGCTGAGTGCTGGCAGCAGCTGCAGGACCATGTCATCCGTGAGGCCTGTGAAGCCCAGCTCCACACTGTCCACCTGGTCTCCGCAGCGCTGCAGGTAGCTGGTCACTCGCTCCAGGTCACGGGAGGTCAGGGGGATGCCTGACAGGTCTACTGTGTTGTCCAGAGGGCTCCCAGCCAGGACAGCCTTGAGGCTGAAGAAGAAAAGGAATAAGCAAGGGTCAACCAAGTATGGCCACCTGTTCCTCAAAGGCAGCTGTGACTACAGGTCCTGGGACTCCGGGGACCATTTTCACAAAATGATCACATTCTGCAGGTGCAGCAGTGGGAAAAACCAGAGACGTCGCCCCACTTGCTGGCACTACCCCAGCTGGCCAGGGCCTGAGGTCTGCGGCCGGCAATCCTATGGGGCCACAAGGTGGGAGACCCAGATGTTTCTGCATGCCTGGATTTGCAATTTAACCCTTCCCACTTGGGTGACCTTTAGTTACGTAACTTCTGTGCCTGAAATACGGAACTGTGCCACCGTGTGTGGTGTAGATAAGTGACTAATCCTTGTTGTCATTAATAATCACTTGGGCTGAGCTTCCTGCTTCCACCACTCCTGGGTGTCAGCTGAGCTGTCCCCAAGAGTGGTAAGAAGGATCTCAGGCTTCTTTTTCAAGACCACCTTCCCCACCAGAGGGGGGGCGCTTTGGGAGAGCCCAGCAGAACAGGCAGGAAAGGGCTCAGCTCAGGGGCTCTGTGCCTGGTGGGGGCTGCTGAGCTCTCCACTCCCACTCACCTCCCCTTGCTCCTCACCAGGCCGGAGCCCAGGCTGCTCAGGCTGAGGTGAGTGTGCCCCTTCCCTCACCCTCTGCTGGCTCTGAGGCAGGGGTCAGTGATGAGATGCCCACGCTCCCCATCTCTAGGCGCCCCAGGCAAGCCCTGAGGTCCCACCCCTGGGAAGGAGAGGGAGGTGGGGTGCCCACAGCCTCTTCCACCTCCTCCACGGGCACACGTTAATGCCAGCAGCCCAAGGGCACAGCTTAAATTTCCTGTCAGCAAGAGTAGGTAAGTCCCTACCCTTGGGGTCTCCTCAAGCTGGAAGGCCAACCCAAGTGTCCTCATCTTGCCTCTGACTGGGGTCTGGCCGTAGGGACTTGGAATATAAAGTTCTCGAGGCATGGCAGTTAAGTCTAGGAACACCACCTGACACCTGTTCACTGTTGGCTGCTATGATTGTCCCTGTTGTTAGTAAAGCAGACCCACGACACCAGGCAATAAAGGTCGCATGGTGGTTAATGGCTTGGCCTTGGATCAGTCTCATTCCTTCCTTCCAATATTTGCTAAGCTCCTACAATGTGCCAGGCACTGTTCTAGACTCTGGGGTCACTGTGATGAACAAGACAGATAAGATCCCTGCTTTCATTCAACTGCAGGCAGAGAGACAATAAGACGATGTGAGAGTGAAGTCATAGAGTGGCTTGGGGTGGGAGTGGGGTAAACACGGCCTACTGAAGATTGACTGGCCACAGAAGGCTTCTTTTAGGAGATGACATTTGAGCTGACACTTGGTGAAAAAGCATGGATCATCAGAAGAGTTCAGTAAAAGTTCCAGCAGAGGGAACACAGGTGCAGTAGGCCCAGAGGCTGGAACAAGCTTGGGGTGTTTGTGAACCAGTGGGAAAGCCAGTGTGGCTGGGGCCCAGTTGGGGTGGAAGAGGTGAGGCCAGACAGGTGGGAAGGGCCTATACGCAGGGCCTTGTTTGGATGTCATCCAAGTGTGATGGCCCGAGGGGAATGAGTCCTCATACATGGCTTCTGAATGGAGAAGGGAGTGGGTGTGTAGGCATGTGCAGGGAGAGAGGGAAAACACAGAGTCCAACATGGCTCAAATTGCTAGCTTCCCAGTCCTTAAAGAACCAGCTCACAAAGTCTCCATGTGACCCTTATCTTCAGGGTTCCAGTGTCTTCCTGTCTTGCTTTATCCCCTACTGTGACCCTGCCCCAGCCCAGCCAGCGCCCTACCCAGGCTAGCTTGGGGACAGCCACCCTGCTGCACCTGGGAAGGCCACCCAGGATTCATCTCCTCTAGCTTTGGGAACCTCTGCGTGTTCAGAAGGGAGGGAGGAGTCAGGGCTCGCTCTTCTCTATAAGAGGGGTCAGTCTCCCCTTCCCCGTCTGCCAGAGACCCTTCAGATGGTAGCCTGAGGGTCCTCACTGCTGCTGGGCCAGGCACATGGCTAGGGGCTAGGTCGCCCTATGGGACACCCTGGAGAATGGGGGGTGTGGGAATGCCCTCTTTTAGCCCACTAGGGACTATAAACTCCTCATGTCCCCCTCCCCACCAGGCCCATGGCGCCCAGCCCTATAACTCTCCAGCTTCCAGCCACTCCCTCTCAGCTCCTTTTGGGGCTCATGCCCACTGGAATGCCTGCCCCCAGTTCTTCAATCTCACCTCCTCCGGGAAGCCTCCCAAGTCAACCCCTTGGTTCTGGTCTCGGGGTGGGATCGTGCATCCCACAGCCTGGCTCAGACGCACATTGGGCCATCCCTGTGGAGCAGCTTGGAGGCCGAGAGGGACAGGGCGGTGCATCCTTCCAGCGAGGGCTCTGAGGGCGTGCACACTCACCAGGCCTGCGGCTTCCTCTTGCCCAGTCCCCGGTGCCGCCTCCACTGGGAGTGCGGGCTGAGGTGGTACGTCAGCTGCCGGCACAGCTTCTCCATGGCGCCCAGCGCGTCGCCTTCCTGCAGAAGCAACCACAGGAGTGGGTCCCTGGGTGCAGGGCAGAGCTGCCCGCTGGCCCGCAGCCTCCCTGTCCCTGCGAAGGAGCCCGCGGCTGTGCTGGGGGCCTGCTCCGCTGGTCCGCTCGCTGAAGGTGGACGCCCACAGCAGAAGGCTGTGGTTGCAAATTGACCTGCACAGTGTTTCTACTTTTTGTGAATTAATGGCGATCATTGAAAAATTGAGATTTAAAGTCTGGATTCCAACTTATTTTGAAAAATTAGGAGATCTGGCAACAATGGGTGGAGCTGGGTGTATTGCTCGTGTATTTTACACGGAAAGTGAAACACTATTTTTACCCACATCTCTCTCAAAAGCAGGAGAATAGAAGAGGAAACAAGTCTTTTCCAGCTCAATTCACCTGTGTGACCTGCCTGGTTCATAAGCATTTGTGTTTGAGACCCTGGGGAAAAGGATGCGGCAGGACACTAGAGAGACTCCAACTCCGTCCCCAGGGAAGCCAAGTCAACGGTTACTGAGCACTCCGTCTGTGTCAGACCTGTGCTGGGTGGAGGGGGCATGAGGCCCACCCGGGAGTGAGTGGCTGAGAGTGTGTGCCAGGGTGAGCATGTGCCAGGGTTCAGATGCAAACCCACGTGTGTTAGCCACCTGGCTGTGCTGAGCTCAGCACATTGGCACAGTGCCTGGCAGAGTGAGCCCTCGATAAAGGACAGCTATCACCATTACTGTGCTAATGGAGAAGCAGCATATTGCGTAGTTAAGAGCATGGACTTGGAGCCAAACTGCGTGGATTATAATCCTTGCTTTGTCACCTCCTTTGTGACCTTGGGCAAGTCACTTAACCTCTCTGTGCCTCTTTTCCTCATCTGTGAAGGGATAACAGTACTGACCTCATAGGGGTTTTTGTGAGGATTAAACGAGTTAATACTTGCAAAGCACTCTGGCTAGAGCCCAGCATACTGTGAGCTCTGTCCAAACGCTTGTTAAACAAACGCTGTAATGGGGAACCACAGAACACACAGAGCCCTGGCAGGTAAGGCAGGAAGCCAGCTTCCACCCAGGCTCAGATCTGAGGAGGGCTTTTAAGAATGGACAGGTTAGTGTTTTTGGATGGAGATAGGACACATGAGGCATCCCTAAGTGAGGAGGAAACAGCTGGTGCAAGGACTTGGGTAAGGGGAGCATGGTGTGTGCAGGGGTGGGGGGAGATGGGAATGTGGAATCTGACTACTTCTCGCCACCTCCATGGCCACCACTGTGGTGCAAGCCACCACCATCTTTCACCTGGATTACCGCACATCAGACGTCATGCTAGAACGTGATGGAATTCCCACACCACTCCAGGGCAGTAAATACTCTGTGGTGACGAATACTGAATATTACCATGGGCTGCCAGAAGAACAATCTTAGAAAAAATACAACCAGGATGCTCCTTAGAAGTGAGAATGGTGAGACGCTGGCTTACTGACTTTGGACACATCATCAGGAAGGACCAATTGCTAGAAAATGACATCATGGTTGGTAGAAGGTGAACAAACACGAGGGGACCCTCAGTGAGATGGACTGACACAATAGCCACAACAATGGACTCAAACATCCCAACAATCATGAAGATGGCGCAGGCAGGACCAGGCAGTATTTCCTTCTGTCATACATAGGGTGGCCATGAGTCAGAGCCGACTTGACAACAACTAACAACAACCTCCATTGTATAGAAGAGGAAACTGAGGCTTAGAGATCTAAGGCCACACACTGGCTCCACCATATCACGCTGTTTTGGGAATCTATACAACCTGGCCCTGGAGTCCAGGATGCCGTTTGCCCACACCTCTCCTCTCTGCTTTTCCCATGTTTGTTATTTTTATTTTCATAACTGATGAACGACACAACGTTTGGGATGGGCAGGGCTGTGTGTTTCTGGGGGCAGCAAAGGAAAGAGAGAAACAGGAAGACTGCATTCAACTGTGGAGTCTGGCAGTAGGGACAGCTGCAAATCAGTGCACATGAGGCTAGGGTGAAAAGGGAGGGAGGCTGTCTGGGTACTGGTCAGGGACCTCTTCCCTAGGAATGACTCTTTGAGGCTCCCAGTAGGAACTCTGTCATGGCTGTAGATGCCAGGGGTGAAAGGAAGGGGAGAAAGGCCTTCTGGGGCTTGGGTGGGTCTACCCTGGCACCCCTCCTTTCTTCATCATTGAATCATCCTGAGGGGTGATGAGATCTGAGATCATCTGAAGAGCACAGGTCCAGCCTCTTTCCACCCTGGAAGGCCTTGGGCCAGAACATGGGAGTAAACAGGCCCCCCACTAAGGCTGCATCCTGAAGCCAGGCTCTGGCGGCCTCAGTATCATGGGGTGGGGGCCTGGCAAGTGGGAAGTGTGAGGTGCCCTGGAAACCACCCCGGGGGAGTTTGGAACCCACTGGGAATGAGGTGGTGCCAGAAAACAGAACAGGGCAACGAGGCCCCACGGAGGCACTGTGGCCTCTCAGATGGCTCTCTGCAGTGGCTCCCACGCTGAAGGAAACTATGGGGTTCCCCAGGCACCATGTAAGTCAGACCCCAAACCTGTGACAAAGACTGAAGCCCGCGGATGAGGGGGACAGACCCAAGATGCAGGGCTGGTCAGTGGTTATGCCAGTGCGAGCTGTCTTTTTTCACATAAGGAACCACCAAAACCCATTGCCGTCGAGTCGTTTCCAACTCATAGTGACCCTACAGGACAGAACAGAACAGAACTGGCCCATAGGGTTTCCAAGGAGTGGCTGGTGGATTCGAACTGCCACCTTTTGGTTAGCAGCCAAGTTCTTAACCACTGCACCACCAGGGCTCCATAAGGGTCCAGTCAGAAAAAATAAACTATTTACAAGCCTCACCTTTTCCCCATTTAAAATGGAATCAACTTTATTGGATCCTATAGATAAGAATGTATATTCAGATTACCTACTTTATACTAATATCAGACCAAATATCTTTAAGACAAAAATTGTTACTAGATACAAAGAAGGGCATTTGATAATAATAAAAGTATCAACCCATCAAGAAGATATAACATTTATAAACATGTAACAGCAGAGCCCTAAAATATATGAAGTCAAAACTGACAGAATTGAAGGGAATAATAGACAATTCAGTAATAATAGCTGGAAACTTTAACACCCTACTTTCAAAAAACAGATAGTGCAACTAGAGAGAAGGTCAGCCAGGAAATAGAAGACTTGAACACAGTAAACCAACTAGACCTAACAGACATCTATTCAACACTCCACCCAAGAAAAGCAGAATATGCATTCTTTTCAAGTGCACATGGAATATTCTCCAGGATAGACCATATGTTAGGCCATAAAACAAGTAACAATGAATTTCAAAGGACTGAAATAAAATCATACAAAGCATGTTCTCCAACCACAACGAAATGAAATTATAAATTAACAACAAAGAAATATGGGAAATTCACAAATATGTGGAAATTTAACAACACACTCCTAAATAAACAATGGATCAAAGCAAAAATCACAAGGGAAATTAAAAAATACTTTAAGATGAATGAAAACAAAAACACAACATATCAAAACTTACAGGATGTAGCAAAAGCAGTACTTAGAGGCAAATATACAGCTGTAAACGCCTACATTAAAAAAGAAAGAAAGAGGCGGGGCCAAGATGGCAGAGTAGTCAGACGCTTCTGGTAGACCCTCTTACAACAAAGACCCGAAAAAACAAGTGAATCAATTATCTATGACAATCTAGGAGCCAGAACATCTAAGGCAAAGTTGAGGAACCGGACTGAGTGGCAGGGAAAGGGAGAGAGATGGTGTGGAAGCAGCGAGGAGGTGCCAGACCTGACCCGGTGAGAGCTTGAGCCCTTCAGTCCTGATCAGCTCGGGGGTGAGTGGTGAAGCAGGCAAGCATCAGTGCTCAGGAGGCGTATTCTGCACAGGAAGAGACCCAGCCCCTGGGAGTCTACTCGGCCATGCAGAACCAGGGAGAAGCAGCCCTCGATCGCCGAAAGATAACTATTTGTGTCCGGCCTACTGCGTGGATGAAAAACACCCCTCTCAGGGAAAAAACTCTCTCCCATTTACCTCCCCACTCCGTGCTCTGCACTGGGTCCCAGACTGGCTTCAGCAATTGCTGAGTCCACTAGGCCAGATGTAGGATCCGTCACACACCCTGAGCCATTCTTCCAGCCTTGGAGAGTGAACAAATTAACAAACAGGGGAAAAAACAAACTGCCAGCTCCCCTAAGCCAGAAACTCAGGGTAGGCACAGCTCCTTTGCCTAGCCACAGGCATAAGGGATCCACGGACTTTAAGTGCCTTTCTCCCTGCATAGACTTGTCTGGGCCCATTTCAACAGTGTAGGCACTCATTACCACAGTACAACAGGATATATATCTGAAGTCTAACCTGAACTCTTTCAGCTGTGAAGTGGCAGGTTTGTGACATTTGACTCTGCTCTGCCAATTAAGCAGGGTCTTCACCTACACACATCAGAGGCCTGAGGACTGGTGGCTCCACCCATGCCACCTAGTCACCTGCGATAGGGGCCCAAGAATAAGAGGCGACCACCAGTCCTTACAGCCAACAGCGTTGGGTGCTCATAGCCCGGCTGCAAAACCCACCCACCTACGTGCTCTAGGGAACAGGGACATGCCTTCCTCCTGGACACTAGGGGATGGCCATCAGCCCACTGCCTTGCTCAGAGTATGTCTCCCTGCTGCAGCCAGATGCCCGTGCCTACGCCAATCATCCATGCTTGTCTAGGACTGTAGGTGAGAGCCTACACCACACACTTTGTGGCTATCTACCTGGGCACCTGAGCTGAATCCATACAGGAGGAGTGGGCGGACTCCAGAACTCAAATACTTAGTAACAGATCTAACAACCTGGTGACAGGACATTAGAGCTTCAAAGGTGCCCATAATCAAACTAGCTCACATAAGCAGCCTATTTGGGCTTATCAAAACAAAACAAGATGCTAGGATACAGTAGGCAAACATAAATA